AGGGAATCAAGTCCTTTAAGGTCCATTCTACCAGTATGAAATATAATGTAATATTTCCAATAATTCTTCTTGTTGATCTCCAGGCCACATACAACAAGATATACAAAGGCAAAGCTTAAATTCTTTTTTATATAAAGTAGTCCCACCAAACTCCTTTGAAGTTAATTCCTATATCTTTATTTTACATGAGAGAAAACCGAGTATCAGGGAAAATATATATATGTGTGTGTGTATGTATATATATATATATATATATATATATATATATATATATATATCACAAGGAAGCAAATAGCAGGACGTGGATTTGGAGTTGTTTTTTTAAAAAAAATTCAGGGTTTATACCCATTCTATCCCAGATGTCTTTCTTTCACATTCATCAGGTTGAGGTAGTTGTAAAATTTCTTTTTTTCTTTTTTGTTTTATTTTTACCTTATAAATAAGGGTAGCTGTTCCAATTCTCTGGATTTTATGCAACGGTACAGTGATCAAGGATAATTTTGTATCCTAATTTGCTTATATTTTCATTAGTTATATAAATTTAGACGTTAGATAACAGAAAATATTTGCAAACAAACACATAATATGTTCTTGGACATCCCCTTCTTTCCTGAACTTGAAACCATTGTAATAGTTTCATGCATAGTGTTTATGTCTATATTCTACTTTAATACCTGTTAGTAATGTGTTCCATTAACAGGCAGTCTCAAAAACAAAATCAAGACTCAGCTATTGAAATAAGTGTGGGATGATGGAAATTACATGAATAAATAAAGTCAACATATTTTGAAATTCAAGAAAGAGGAGTAACTTTTAGCATGTGCCTAGATCCAAGCTAGCCATTACTACAAGCATTTCTTTGAAGCAAATATTATTTTGAAAAAAATGTATGACATGGACTTAATATCAATGTTAAATTTTGACTGACAGATCAATTTTTCTTTTTTCAAATAGAAAATCTCTGTTAAGCAAGAACTCTCTACACAAAGGCAGAAATTTCTATTATACAAATAGTACCTAAAGGAAATTAAATGTTATTTGATTAGAATCCACATTACCTAAAATAGCTAGGCTTGTAGTAAATTGACTCAGGTACTTACAGTTAGCTCACCTCCTTTCTCAAGAGACCCGAGACTTCACAATAGACTGGAGATCACTCTCCAGTCTAGTAGATCACTCTAGTAGAAAATAGCAAATTATGGAAAGAGAGAACATCCTATATGGCAACTAAGATATAATGAGAGCTAGAATTTGAGGTCTTGTATGATATATTGTCATATTAATTGTTTATTACTTTATAGCTCTTACCTGGGTTTCCTAAGGCTGCCTTAAGATATTTGAAAGAGAAATTAAACTTGTTCTGTATTTTCCCAAACTGTATATTGAATAGATGTGAGATGCTTAGATACAGATGTTAGTACAATTTAAGGAAATGCTTTCAACAGTGTCCAGAAAATCCTGCATTTAACATAGAGAAATAGCTACCCTTAATGAAACTTAAGAAAGAATAATAGAAAAAGAAAACAGCAAATTTCAGGTAAAAATATATAATTGAAGCACAAAGTTCAAATGCCTAATCCATACAATAATATTTTTAACAAAATAGAATTTAAAAAAACAAATAATGTTTCCAGAGAAGTACAGTTGGAATTGGGTTGCTTGTTGACTAATTCCAGAAGAAAAATCACAAGGCCAGTCTACATGTCTGTACATTTAAGTCCTGGCTGATTAGCAGAATATACAAAGTTTTTTTTTTTTAAGTATTATCATTAAAGTATCCATAGAAGTATTTTGTTTTTTTTAATCACCCAGATTAATTTAGATGATGATATTATCTTAGTCTGTGCTGCTACAACAAAGTACCATTAAACTGAGAGATTTAAAAGCAACAGAAACTTCTTCCTCATGGTCTGGAGGTTGAAAGTCTGACATCCTGGTGCCAGCATGAGCAAGTTCAGTCATGGGCCCTCTTCTGGCTCTCAGACTGCTGTCTTCTCATCGCACCCTTGGTGGAAAGACAGCTAGGAGTTTCCTGGAGGTTCTTTTATAAGGTCAATCATCTCACTCATGAAATCTCTACCTCTGTGACCCCCTAAGGAACCCATCTCCTAATGCTCCACATTGGAAGTTAGAATTTCAACACATGTCTTTTGGGGAGACACAAATATTCAGTTCACAGCTCTTGTAAAAAGCATGCTAATTATTTTTTAATTTAATTAAAATATTATATATGTGCATACATACAGAAAGCAAAAGGAAGGGAGTCCACTGTGTATTAAGTACTCTATTGTGAGCAGGCCAGCCCTCAAGAACCTCAGAATATGTAAAGCCAAGAAGGTGAGCAAAAAATATGAAGTAGGAAGCATGTGCATAAAAGATGACAATCACTATGCCAGGAGATTTTGTTAGATTTTAATCAGGAACCGCATCTAACAAGATATAATATTAAAATAAAAAACCTATACTGTTGTACTGAGATCCCTTTAAAACAACCACACGTTTATAGGACAAGAAAAACGTGACTCATCAAGTACAAGAAGCAAGCTCCTTTGTTCAAAAACAATTGCAGCTATCATTTTTAATTCCAGCACCTGGTCCAGAGTAGATCTTTAATAAATGTTTGTCAAGCCAACTTGGGTCATGTTTAGGGAATTTTGTCTCAAGTCTAAGGAAGTGTCAAAAGACCAGTGTGACTTTAAAAAGGGGTGATGTGACCTTCTAATAACTATATTGGTAGAAAGAAGTTTAGAGTCTTGCTCAGTTTTTATGGGTCAGATCAAACAGCTACTTTTACCCCTGGAGTCATAATTTAGGAGCAGTTAGACAAACTGTAATGTGAACAGCAAAAAGACAAAACTGTTGGAACAAAAACCCAAAACTATATCTTATAAGAAACAGTCAAAAGGCCCTGGCTGGTGTACCTCAGTGAATTGAGCACAGGCCTGTGAACCAAAGGGTTAATGGTTCAATTCCCAGTCAGGGCACAGACCTGGGTTGCAGACCAGGCCCCCAGTATGGGGTGTGCAAGAGGCAACCATACATTGATGTTTCTCTCCCTCTCTTTCTCCTTACCTTCCCCTCTCTCTAAAAATAAATAAATAAAAAATTTTTTAAAAGGAACAGCAAAGGAAGCTAATGTTTAACTTGTAGAAAAAAACTACTACATTATTTTCAAATACATAATATGTAATAATAATGTTTATCATTTATTAAACAACTACTATTGCATTATCTCATTTAATCCTAACAGACATGTGAGTTATTATCAACATTTTTTAAACTGTAAGAAAACTGTCATTCAGTGACATGATGTAACATATCCAAACTCATACAGCTAAAAAGGGTCAAATCTAAGATTCACCAAATGATTCGACTCCACAGCCAGGTTTTGTCATATTGTATGCATTTGTTCTTCACATGATGTAAATTTAGACTAGTGCTCTGTGTCCTCAAGAAACCGAACAATGACAGGCAGATTTCAGCTCAATGTGAGTGAATTGATAACATTATTTCATAGGACAAAATATGGTAAGGTGTTTTTACTTATGAGTTATCTGTTTTTAAGAAAATGATAAAAATAATATTTGGATTCAATGTTCCTTCCAAACTCCCTAACCCACCCCACTCTGCTCTCCCCAGAGTGTAACTTTCTACAACCAATTGAGGCATTTAGTGCTTAATGTTAAGATATGTATACATACACAAATATACACATGTATAAAAATGAGAACTACGTCAGAATTAATATAAATTTTACCCCCCCAAAAAACCTAATTGGATTGATTTTCACATTTATTTCTAAAATAGAAGTGTTTATATACTTGGAAATTAGGTATCATATTTTAAAATATATCAATATTCTTTCAACTTGTGTGGGCCACTACAGTTAAGATACCTTCGAGGCTCCTCCTGAAATCTCTGCACAAGAAAACAGACTGAGTTAATGCAAATGCTGTTTGGTTTTTGACACCGTTTTCCTGAGAAGCACATTTGCATGTGAGAAGTCTGCAGAGAAGATGGATAATCAATCATTTCAAATGAATGTACGAGATTTAAGATGTGGAGGTTACCCATCACCGTTGGCTGACTTTCCTGGATGACACATCCACCGCCTGATTTCTGCAACTCGGTTTCGGGTGCCCTTAGCCCGCAGGACAGAAACCAGATGCAACCAGAGCTCCACGCTAGGAGAAAGCTAGGGACTAGAGGGTAAAATTAATAGGTTCCATCCATGAAAGTTGATACGTTTCTCATTTCTTTTTCAGAGAAAAGATCACTGTCGTCGTTTCAAGCAGGTCTGAAGGGTTGTAAATCTCCATTCGTGACATGCAAAACACAGTTACCTTTTCCTGGATGTGCGGGAAGGAAGACTAACGAACAGGAATTGACACCCTCGGCCTCAAATGACTGCGGACAGCAGGAGGGACCGAAGCGGGCTGGGTTCTAGGGGTCGCTCGAGCTGCCCGAGGCCAATGCCCTGTCACATTGTATACAGAGAAATCTGCGCTGGAAACACAGAGTGATGTCAGCCCCCTTTCTTACGTGTTACTGGTGTCAAAAACTAACTCTCTGGTTGTCTCACTCCCCACCCTTTCCTCCCAACTCCCTTCTTCGTTCTTCTCCTTCTCAGAGGTGTTTACACAGATGAGTGCCGAGGAGAGGGGGGAACAACTCGTTGGATCGCTTTGCGCAAAATCCACCCCTTCTCTCTCGTCCCTCCCCTCCAGCCTCTGCGCCCTGCACTGCCCTCCCTCCCCGGCCCCTAGCCGTGTGGGGTTGGGGACTAGTCTCTGTACTACTAGGGTGGGAGGGGGCTGCAAGCAGAGGATAACGTCAGATGCTCCGTGCTCCCCCTCTGCCTGACGCTCCCGTCTGGATCCGCCAGGGGTGGGCTCTGTCAGAGCTGCTGGAGCCCTGGCAGCGGCGAGAGGAAGCGGCTGAGCGCGCACGGAGCCTGAAAAGTCGGTGCGCTCCTGGTTACCTCCCAGCCGGTCCGACCGGCCGCCAGCACCATGGACAGCGGCCCTGGCCCGGGCAACGCCAGCGACTGCACCGGTCCCTTTGCGCGCTCGGCAAGTTGCACCACTCCGAGCCCCGGTTCCTGGGTCAACTTGTCCCACTTGGATGGTAACCTGTCCGACCCGTGCGGTCCGAACCGCACCGAGTTGGGCGGGGGCGACAGCCTGTGCCCTTCGAGCAGCAGCCCTTCCGTGATCACGGCCGTCACCATCATGGCCCTCTACTCTGTCGTGTGCGTTGTGGGTCTCTTCGGAAACTTCCTGGTCATGTATGTGATTGTCAGGTAAGAAAGGCGCCAGGGCTCCCAGCGGGCGCTTCGGTGGCTAACAGCGGCGCAAAGGGGCACCTGAGCCGCCAGGCAGAGTGTTGGGGCGAAATCCTACTTTTCTATTCCCACCCTCCTTTCCGCCCTGGTGAAGTAGAATCCAAAATTTCAGAAACAGAGAAGTTGCTTTGGTAAAAGCTCGAAAGCTCTTTGGCGGCGGGGGGTGGGGGGGGGGCGTCTCTTAGAGCTCCCTTATACTGCACCAAAAGGGCCCTTGGGCACAATCCCGCAGTCCCTTTGGCAGAAGCTGTGGAAACAGTAATTTGTGAATAATGGGAAAAGAACCTAGTTTATTTCCTCCAACTGGGGGACCAGGCCAAGGCTCCTTCTCGGTCCTTTTCAGAGACGAACCTTAGCTACTTTTTGTGTTCCCGCTGTTTTCCGTGTACGAGGTCCCCACCCTCCTCTTTCCTGGCCATACCCCACTCCTACCGCCCTGTGGCCACACTCCTAAAGGATGTTCGCCTGTGTGTCTCCCCACAGTGTTGCTTTGTTGTGACAAATATGACAGTTGTGTTGCCTGGGCCAGTTTTTGGTGAGCAGCTGTGGATCAGCCAGGGGCGTCACAAACCGAAATGGGTTCAGGAGAGTTGCAGGATACACTGTTTCACTGCCTCCAAAGGGGGGGACCAGGTAGACGCGACTCTAAGCAGCATCAAACTAGTGTATAGGAAGTTGTAATGATTGTTCTTAAAAAATGAAAAGTGTCTTTAATCCAGGGAAATTCTTTCAAAGGAGTTTGTGGCCCGTTTTCTGTTTTCTGGATGCTCCAGGTTTACTTGGCAAAGACTGTGCCAGCTCTCAATATGAGTTGAGATTGCTGTCGATTGTGTTAGTGTTGATGGATGTACTCAGCCCCCCAGGTTAATATGGACTGTACCATACTGTCACTCCTGTTAAAGTCAGTAAAGAATTTTACACTTTCAAATGGTCCCTGACTTAAGATGTTCTTCCTACTAGAGATTTCTATTTGTTCTATGTATGTAGTGAACATGGAGTTTTCATGTTTAGCTACAATATTTGCTTCATCTATTCAGCAAATATTGCAGATTTTAGGAGGCATTTTTAATCATTTAACAACTTCTTTTCCTCATTATGCTTTCATTATCTATGTACTTCATGTAGTTTGTAATCAATTCTTTATACTTATACATCTGATTTCTTTAATGATTATTAAAGAGTAATGCTAATATCCCTAATCTTTTGATGAAGCGTAAGATAAGTAGTGTCTCTGACAAAACAGCACCATCTATTGAGAAGAAAGCTAACAACAGAGGATAATGCAGGAAGACAATCAATGGAAGAATTCATTTTTATGAACATTTACTTTTTAAAATGTTGTTATTATAAACATTTTATTTACTCATGTAGTCTAATGCAAAAATTTTTGTCAAAGATAAAAACTGTCTCATTGGAAGTCATGATAATAAGATCATAATTAAAGGTCTGCCTCATGAAGAGAATATGTTTCTCATTTTCTTAAGAAAATTCATGGAATCGAAAGCTGATAGGACTGGAAGGGACCCTAGAGATTATCTAGGCTTGGTGAGTCAACTGAGGCACAGCAAAAATAAATGATCTCTCCAAGGACAGACAGTTTATTAGTTCAATACCACTGAATCTGTCTGGCCAGTATAATTTTCTGTTCATTAGAGTGGCAAAGCATGATTTTGGTTAATTATATAAAAGATTAACATGGTAAGATAAGTTAGCAGTAATGATGTAGAAATAATAAATTTCCCCATATTTATCTCTGGAATTCTGGAGGATAGAGGACAAAGAGAAATTACCAAAGCCTGTAGAAATTCTGCCATCTAAAATATTATATTTATTTTCTTTTATTGTTTTTTGGTGTTTTTCTGCATCATTTTTCTTGCCTCCAGTTTATGCTTTTCACTAAGGAGACATCCAGTAGAGCATCAACTGGCTGTGAAATAAGCAAATTGGTCTTATTCTAGAGTTTAATAGATTTCTGGTTTGGTGAGTTTGTCTTAAAAGGATTACCTCTGACCTCTTAATGACTTGGAAAATGATGGTGACATTTTAGCTTACTTAGAACAAGATATTATGCTTTCCTTCTCTGTGCCGAAAGTTCTACCAAAATGCCAGTAGGGTTTCAAAGGTTACCCCAAACACCAAGGTCGGTAACCCCCTGAGAGTATCACTGAAACAGAAAAAAAAATGTTTCAGAGATGGATGAAGTGATGAGGGAAGTAACTGGGAACTGCAGAAAGTATGTCTGTGTAGCTGAGAATATTCAGCTGAACTGTTTCCAGGCTGTGGTGTTTTCTCTACAAAATGATCAGTTCAGGGATATTATTATCTCTTTTAAAAAGAAGATGAGGCTAAGGGAGGTCAAATATATGGTGATAGAAGGAGATTAGACCTTTTGTGGTCCAGTGAGCACACAATGCGATACATGGATAATGTACTGTAGAACTGTACACTTGAAACATAACCTTATTAACCAATGTCATTCCAGTAAATTTAATGAATTTTTTTGAAAAAGATGAGTATAATGCTCCATCTTTTAAAGTTGAGATAAAATGCTCACTTCCTGTCAGTTTTTAAAATTCAGTAGGTACTTTTAAATGGTCATATAGTTACAGTTTTCTAACCAGATTAAGGCAATATTCATTAGAATAATTTAGTACAAAAATACCTGGAAATTCAGGTGCCATAATTAATGCTTTTCTGTTCTGTCTCAACTTCACCATCATCATTTTGTCAATACTTTAAAACAGTATAACAAGTAGGATTCTTATTTGGTGCTGTCCTAAGAAACATAAGGAAGGAAAAAAGACAGAAGCCAAAGAACTTACATGTACGACCCATGGACATGAACTAAAGGGCAGGGGATGTGGGTGGGAGGGGGTCTGCAGGGAGGAGAGGAATAAAGGGGGGGGGAATGGGAAAACTGTAACAGCATAATTAATAAAATATATTTAAAAATTAAAAATGGAAGAAAAAAAGATAGTGTCATTTGACCTACAGAGTTCAAATCAAAATGTTAAATGGTGGAATATCATGACTATTCATCACCTGAAAGGTGTTTTTTTTTGTTTTGTTTTAAAGAAAAAAAATTTTGCAGGATAATATTATAAAAGCTACTACAAAGATTCTGGGAAACATGGTGATAAAAATATTATTAAATGTAGCAATCATTTACAATGGGATAATAGTAGATTATCATCAGGAGTATTTAAACAATTCAAATAATGCAAAAGTTATAGTTACCAGGAGTGTTTCACTTATTGAAAACATCTCATTAAAGTAATAAAGTATAGAATTAACCATAACTATAAAACTGATGTAGTCCTAAATGCTCATTTTGTGAGATTTTTTTTCCAAAATGATTTGATCATGTAGTCACAGCCATGGTATGCAGACACTGTTGGAAAAAAAGTAGGAGTTAGAAAGTGTTATATCACTCTGGAAGCTCTAAAAAAGAGCACCACATAAAATTGCCTTTATTTTTAAGGTCGCTTCATAAATTATATAAAAGTCTAATTACTATGCTGTACATGTGAAACTAATATAATACTGAATTTCAAGTGCAATAAAAAAATAAATTATTAAAAATAAAATTAAAATGTATAGAAAGGTAAAAAATTGCTTCTCAATTGGACTAGATAAACTCAATATGACTAGTTACTAGAGAAGAGTACTTAAATATATGCATGATGTTATTGTAATTTTTCTTTCACTAGAAAATATTTTTGGTTTTAAATCAAGTTCTATGAGCTTATACTTCTTCTATATACTAAGTCTTTGATACAGGTTTAAGCTACAAAATGATCAGTCATACCTGATTGAAACAGAAGTACAAATTTTTCACTCAATTCAGATAAAAGTAGCTGACAAAATAAGAAATAATAATTTTATTTAGTTTAAGGATATGTATGTATGCATTTGTGTATACACGTGAATTAATTTGAATGCAAAGTCACTGAATATGGCCACTAGTCATTTTTATAAAACAGAAGAGGTTAATAGTTCATTTAGAAACTCAAATGCTTATGAAACTCATTTTCTTTTTTTAACTATAAAAAAGCCAAGTTAGGGGATGGCTATAAATGAAAAATAACTACTAAATAAAATTCTGTTCTTACCATAATGGCCTACCATCAAAACATAAAAATTTAATGGGATGCCTACTACTTCTCAATAGAGAGCTTTGAGTATCAACTATTACAATTGAAACTTTAACTGCTCACTCGAATACAGTTGCTAATGCTGCTGGGAACAACTCTTCCTCTGCATGTCCTGAGAACACTAAATTGCTTTTAACTTCTTAAATTGAAAAAAGTGCCTTTGTCATTTTTATAGAGTTATCATTGCGTTTCTTTTCCTTCTCTCTTTTTTGAAAGAGTGAGGTATCTTATTATTTTATGAAGTATTTCCAACACCAAGAAATGTTTAGAGAATAATAGAAGATTCTTCATCTTTAAAACTTGGTATTTATTATTAGGATATAATTATATCCTAATTTATATATGTATACACACACTCACACATAGATCCTTTTGTAATATACAATATATTGGGTTAGCCAAAAAGTTTATTTAGTTTTTTCTGTAAAATAAAGGACACGTTTTTCATTTTCACCAGTAACTTAATTGATTTGGATATTTTGAGTATGTTGGCCATCTCTCGCATGGTAGAACATTGGTCATTCTCAGTGTCTCAGTTTGCTCACCATCAGTTTGACCAGTTTGATCACTAGTCTACCTGACCACAGGGCATCATCCAGTGAGAAACCTCCAGCATGATATCTCACAAACTGTATTTTTTATTTCTTTTTTATTGTTTTTGCTATTACAGTTGTCCCAATTATTTCTAGTTTGTCTTCCTCTACCCAGTCCACCCCTCTTGCCCACAGTCACTCCCGTCTCCATTGTCCATGTCCATGAGTCATTTTGACATGTTCGACAAGACACAGCACCTTCTCCATACAC